CCAAACAAATGAATCCAACTGAAAGCTTTCGGCCTTTATCCAAGCACTTTTCCACGATCCCAGTACTGGACCGGAATTAATGGAGGGCCAAAAGAGAACGATAGTGGGATAGCAAGGGCAGGGAACGGGGGGGAAGGGACAATTTAGTCAGCATGGACAAACCTTCCTGTATGTATTGCCTTGCAGCAAAGCTGGAGCCCCAGCGACCACGTAAAAGTGACCTTTCCATCAAGCCGTGAAGGCGGAAATCTTCTGTAGCACCCCCCCTACGGAGGGAGTAGGGCCCGAAAGAGGCCTTCAAATGGAAGAACTTCAGGAGTTGACGAAAGCCCTCTCGAAATTGCTCTTTTGATTCCCCCCAAACATGTTCGTGACGTGAAACTCCAATATCAAATAGTGTCCGAGCGATCATCATGGTGGGGACATGGTCAATGATAACATTCTCATCGACTTGTCGGCGCAGCCCGGTTTTTGTGTCTCCCAGCCGCACAATCATGTTCTCTTTTCCTAGCAAGAGGTGTTTGAATTTGACATCAAAGATCTCGCCAGTCCTCAGCGTTCCCCAGAACCCCAGGCAGAGGCACAGAGCCAGCCTGAGGTCCTCGAGATCTACACAACGTCCAACTAATGCTTCCGCGACATTGACAGGAAATGGGGGTGCCTGTTTGGGTTTTTCCAACTTTCTCCAAACACCATAAAGCTTCCATGCTCCACGAATTTTACCTCGGCTCCATGGGAGATAATGGTGCAGGCCTGATAGGGCATCCGCTACGGAAGTGGTACTGGCGCCTTGGACATATTGGAGGTCAATCCAAGCGATGAGAAAATCATCAATGTCGTCCTTTGTCTTTTCAAGAGCGGGCAATAGGGCTGAAACAGCAACGAAATACCTGATTCTGGTTTTCAGTGTCACCGCTCGGTCATGAAGGCTTAAACCCTTTCGGTGTCGCAGCCTTTGTCGTCGTAGCAGCTCAGGCGCGGCTCGCGGCATCGGTAGGATTCTCGTAGGAATCAACGTGGGCTAGGTGAAGGAGTGAGTGGCTCACCAAAAGTAAGGAGTTGATCTTGCGCACAATATACCTGAGCTTGGCGCTCCCTGTCCTACCCTTAGAAAGTATAGAGAGGGCCACATAGCTGTCGGTGAGGTGAAACATCCGCCGATTTACCAACTGCCTGTTCATCACTTTCCAAAGAATAGTGAGGTATATTGCCCGAATTTCAAGGGCGTTTATATGCTCAGTTTGACTCCAGCGCGTGCTAAACACGGCGGTCCAGTTCCACCAACTGGCTTGAACCGATTGCCGCGGCAGAGCGCTCGGGTTCATAACTTGTCCTGTGGTAATACGAATGTCTGACCCTGTGTGCTTTACGCGGGCACAGAGGTGATCATTCAACTGCTTAACCGTTCGGGACGCAGAGAAACTAGGGAAAAGGCAGCCAAATTGAAGTGGGCAGCTCAAGGCCGGGTGCAGGCCAGCGCCCGGGGGGAGACCCATGCGTGAAAATAAGAGGTCCGGCTTAAAAATACCAGTGTACTTGGCAACCGCAGCACCAGCAAATAAGACAAAAGACCAAATAGAAAAACTGTCCCCCACTAAGCTGCACCTTTCATCTTCAAATGACGTGGGTTGTCCTTTCGCCTCCGAGGCAGACATGCAGAGCATTGTATGGGATCTGCCGTAGCCCATGAGTAGCTCACGCTCATCTGCATTCAAGAGCCTGCCTTCTCCAGCTGGGTTGTAAACTACATACTGGGACTTGTACTGATAAGGAGGGAACCTAAAGGCCTCGCTCTCCCACCGGCACCGGGTACCAGCGTCAGTTCGCTCTATTCCAGCCGGCCTAGGGGGAGGCCTTTCACGCCTGATTGCTTTCATAAATGTGGGATAGATAACCCCAGGGGCTGCTTGCTCCCAACCCGGGGTGAGCCACTGTGCGGGGGCTGGCCATTCTCCGGCAACCCAAATTTCCTTGTACCCAGGCTTTTCAGTGATGTGGAGGCCATCCAAATTTTCCATATTCATTGTAGTCCAACAATATCGAGGTCTTGAGTTCGGAACTTGCTCCTTGGGATCCACCTTGTAGGGCAGAACACCTAACATGCGACTAATTTCATCCCTGGCACTGTAGTCCATGCTAGACACGTTTTCCACAAAGAAGTGGAAGGCAGCTTGGGGAAAAAGAGACTTGGTGTCATCAAAAATCCTCACGGCCTCACGGATCAACCCGCTGGACTTTCCTTCCAAATTCAGTCTGTTCGCCCTAACGCTGCTGAGGTCCACACAGGGAAATCCTGCCCACAAGTGAACTTCTTCAAAGTCCTCCACATGTTCCAACAATTCTCTGAGCTTGTCCAGGGTCAAAGTCTTCACGTCATCCCAGAAGATTGTGTCTGGCCATCTCCGAGCCATAGTTCGGTTTGCAGGTTTGTGTATGTCGCATGCCAAATAGGCTTTCACCTTCACGCCTGCCACGTCATAGCACCTCGCTGCGCCCCCTATCCCGTTGAAAAGGGATATCACCAATACCGGGATGGCCAAAGGGTGGTTCTTCTGATTCTGAGATTCCAAAAACCCTTCTCCTTCCATTGAGAGACTTCGCGAGATGGCAATGGCACCTCCTTTCTGGCTCGCGTCACTGCAGGTAATCACCTCATCGATCCGGGATCCTAGCCAAGTATGGAAAAGGGGGGTCCCTAAAACCGCAAAAAGTAGCTCCTGCCTGACCTCCTCAATCTGCCTAGCACGGGGGCGCTTGGAGCTGATGTAGGCCCAGACAGCATCAAACTGGCACATACCCGGTCGGCGGAATTGCAAAGCGAAACACCACCGTCCCATCATGATCTGCAGCTTCTTCTTGGAGATGCTGGGCTGGTGGATAAGCCACAATGTGCTCTTGATGATCTTAATCATCCTTTCACAACTGGCGCCAATCCACTGACCGGAGCCACCTATAAAGGCACCCAGCTCTACTCCACTCTCAGCGGCCACTACTGACTTGTCAGTTGACACTACAATACCTGCCTCGCCCCAAAGCGCCTCTGCCGTGCGTTGCAACTCAATGAGCTCTTTCGGGTGTCCTTCAACTACCTTTGCACCCCCAGCAAAGTTGTCTAGGTAGACATGCCACCAAGGACGGCCTTGACGCATACCCTCAGAGGTACTGTTAATCATCCAACTGGGCAGGGGGCAGGTCTTATGTATTTGTCCTTGGTCATCCACTCCACCTTGAAGCAACACACTTTCTGCGATCTCTTGCATCACGCCCACAGCTGAGCTCCAACCCATCGGGAGTACGGCACATGACAAATACCACTTGTCTTCCGAGTTAGACCTTGCCTCAACGCCTAACGTGGAGGAGTCGAAACTAAGGTTGAAGCACAGAAGTCTGCTCCACTCAATTGGCACGCCGAAAAGGTAAAAAGCACAAGTCATGTCCGACTGAGCTAGACGGACTGTTTCGCCCTCTTCCAAAACAACGTTCAGCCACTGGGTAATGTTAGGCAACTTGGCGACCCTACCAGGGATGACACGTAGGACAGAGTTGATGGGGACCAAATTCATGATGACCCTGAGCACACTCTCGCCACTCTCCAGCAACTTGCTCTTAGGTACTCCAAACAGTCCGTTCAGAACCTTCTGGCCTCTATAGGTGACGACCTCAGAAGAGTGGGTCCAACGACAAATGCCTCGTCGGACCAGCTCCATCGCCACAGTAAGAGCCTCTTCTCGCACTATATGAACCTTTCCTTGCAACCTTGGGAGATCTTGCCCGACATCCGGGCACAAGCAACCGAGGGGATTCAACAGAAGCTCACGTGTCCTGCCTCCAACCCACTTGACAGCTTCAATTGACCCTCCGTGACCTTCAGGAGGAAGTCCAGGTTTGATTCTGGCTAGGCTCAACGCTTCAGCCTTGCAAATTTCTTCTCCGCTGTAGGACACGGTTCTTTTCTGAAAATCTTCTTTGATTTCTGAAACCCCCCAAAGCACGTGACTGTCATCCATCAAGATCCTGTCAACAGCAGCCCGGATTGAGCTCATCAAATCACGTTGCACCGCCGTAGGACGTGAACACGCACGGGTAGCATTACCACAGGCCAAATGATTAGCAAACAGAACTACTAATTCACACCAGCAGGCCCTAGCAAGGGTTGCCCGACATTGAGCCCCCTTCACAAAGGACTCAAAATCAAAAAACTCATCGACGTTCGACAAAATTGGGAAAACAAAAGAAGGGAGAGGGAAAACCTGACGTTTAGAGTGCAGCACTCGTGATAGCTGGCCAGAGCTAAGACACACTTTTTTCAGCGCAGCAAAAGCGCGGAAGTAGTGCCAAGGGCGACCTCCATCGATCGCCGGGCTCCGGAAAAGCTCAAAATACATGCTGAGCCCCAGCGCGGATAGATCTCCAGCAGAGGCTAGCATTTCGTCCAACCAAGAGCGTCTCAAATGCCGCTCCATCACTCCTCCTTTCCCTTGTCTCCCTTGTCGGAACTGTTCTCCTTCTGCCCCTTCGGCTTCTGCCACCAATTGCTCCACTGGCCTTTCTTCGGGGAGCCCCTGCCTCCCCAGTTCTGCCTTCGGTCTTCTTTGCCGTCCTTGCCACCTTTGCCTCGCTTTCCTTTTTCCTGCCAGCGATCGGGTCGACCCCAGCCGGCATCTCCCTTGCCTCCTTTGTTGCTTCGTGGCCTGCTGTCCTGGTCGGTGACCTTCTCCATCAGCTTCGAAAACTTCCTGGCCGCTAACGTCACCGCCGGTCCCGCCGCTGTGGCATGGTCTGGCGAAAATATCTCGAGATGCCGGGCAGCGGACCAGTTCTGGTCCAGCCCCGCTTGCTCGAGGGCCAGCCAGCGAGCCGCGAGGGCATCCCCTAGCCGGCCCAGTCGGCCAACACGCAACAGGTCGACGCAATTGGCTATCAAGAACAACTCGCGACCGTCTCGAGTCTGGGAGCTCACACCTCCGGAGTGGGTCAGGGAGTGCCAGTAGGTCAGAACCTTGGTGCCGTGTGACACCGGGTTCTCGTGTTCTGCAGCGCCACCTAACTCGTTGAGGCGTTGTTCTATCTGCGTGATGAGGAGCTCCAGCACTGACCCCTCCGCTCTCTCGCTTTTCTTTTTGAGAGGTGGCAAAAGGGACTTTTCCTCCTCTGAGCTGTCCCCGCTCTCGCTGTAGCTTCCTGACTTCTCGTCTTCTCCTGAGCTCCCTGAAGAGCCCCCGGAGTCGTCGCCATCGGGATCGTCGCCCCTCTTCCTCTTCTTTTCTTTCTTTTTCTTTTTCTTTCTCTTCTTGCCGCCTAGTAGCACTTTCAAGGCATCCAATGCCTTGTCCTTCTTCTTTCGTGGCCTCCTCTTCTTGTCTTGAACTGCTTTGGCGGCTTGAGATGTCAAGGTGGCGACCACTCCTCCATTCTGCTGCCTCCTCAACCTCAAATTCTTCATAATACCTTCTCTTGGCTCCCTGACCGCGATCTCGGTGCCGGCTCGGCGAGCGCCAGCGGCCTCCCGAGTGGTGCCAATCTTCGAACTCGTAGTCAACCCGGCCGGAGCAGGTGAAGCATCTCCATCCTCCTCGAACACCTGGTTTTCTCCAGCGATCCTGACTCGTCGACCAAGGCCCCGGTTCTGCTGCTTTTGACGGACCTTTTCCAGCCTGTCCCTGAGGATGCCAGGCGCGGTACGGCCCGAAACTGCCTTTTGGCCCTCTCCTGGGGCCTTCCGCTTTGAAGCCCGAGCGCCTGGTGGTTTTCCTCCTTTGCCTTTTGTCAGGGGATCCTTCACTCCCCTCTCCTTTCCTGGGCCCTCTAGCTCGACAACCTCGCCTAAGTCCTCGGCTTGGAGCGCGTCCTCGATCTCGTCTCCAGTGCCTCCTGGAGCTAATACCTGCTTGAGCAGCTTTCGACCTGCAACTGTGAGTCGACCTGAGGGGAACTCGGATCCATTCCATAGCTCCAGTCGACGCACATGGAAAACTCCCTCTTCTATCGCGCACGGTCCCTCGTTCAAACAAATGTGAAGAGCACCAGCGCGCCTGTTGAAAAGACTGCTGAGCGTTGGGACAACATCGTCTCGACTGGCCCCAATCGCACGTACCTGTACCAACATACTGGCATCTGATGCAAGGGTTGAGCCCAGCACCAAGAAAAAGCCTTCCACCTCGTCCTGACCAATCACCTCGTAGGGCACGGCAGTTACCAGCACATTGCCCGGCTGAGGTGCGAACATATTCCACCTTGAAAAATCCCGGACATCGTAGACCCCGAAAACGTCGTCTCCGTGACCAGGAACTCCAAGTTCGTCGCCTGCCCTCATTGCTTCCTTCCCCGGGGGGGTACCCCAGGAATCGCGTCCTCCCTTGGGGCTGTTGAGTCAAACTCAAAATACGAGTTGTCCAAACTTCGATGGATCGTGAGGAATGGGTTCTCGTCTGCTCGATATAGCCGCTTGTGCTTCCTACCTGCCCTGTGAGTCTTGTCTCTCTTTCTCTTCTTCTTCTTGAAGCCGTCTCCTCGACGATCGCGTCCTCGATGGCGAACTGAATGCTCACCTTTGGGGTGTCTATGACCCCTCGAAGAAGTTGCTGCCTCCTCACCGGCGGGCACGGGCACGGACCCAGCCTCACCAGCAGTATTCTCAACCTTCTCCTGCTTGACCTCCTCAGCCGGCTCTGCAGCGTGACGAGCAGCGGGCGCCGCCTTCGCGGACAGTCCCTTTGTGCTCACAGGCCTGGTTGGGTCCTGTATTATAGTGGCCTCCGAGGCCTCACCAGAGTCGTCCTCGTCAGACTCGTAGGAGCTCTCCTCGTCCTTGTCGGCCTTTTCTTCTGTAGCCGGTGGGATCTCAGGCCGGGGAGATCGCACCAGCGGAGCTCGAGGATCCTTCGGCTCGGACCCAACGCCAGCCGTAGGAGGGGGGCGCTCCGGGGTGAGTGGCCGGGTCTGGCCTCGTGCAGCCTGCGCCACGGGCGGAGTGACCCGAGTGACGCGTAAGGCGCGCACCTGGCGGACCGCGCTCACCACTATGTCAGTGGCGACCGCACGGAGTCCGGGATGGCTCCAGGAGAACGAGAGTTCCGACCCGAGAGCCTCCCACCCGGAGCACCCCAAGCACCAAGCGTCGCCAGCCGCTGGCGCGGCGCGGCGACACTTCGCGCAGAGTGCCATGCGCCGCGTAGAGACCCTACACGAGCCCGTGGCCGCAGGAGTTTCGTGCAAACATTCTCACCTACGGCAGAAGTCATATTAAAATTTAGACTAAAAATCAAACGAATAAACCGTGAACATGACGCCATGACGTAAACTATCGTAAAACTACGTTGCTTCTTCATCCATGCCCCATCACCCGACGTCGTGCCGCTTCCCCGGCCCCGCCCCTCGGCCAAGCGGCTGCCAAGACGGTTCTCCCGGGGATCACCACCTGCCGGCGAAGCCGGCCGTCCAAGAACATCTCATCATACGAACATGCACACGCGTGTAACCGGTACATGAATGAACATGCACAACTGACAACAACCCCAGTTCAGGGAGACACTCTCAAATCCATGTGATCGCCTGCTCAAACTTGGGCAGCTCCGTATTGTACATGGAGAGTGCCAAATACTCTCCGGACCTCGGGCACCGAGGGTCTGAGACGCACGGGTCCCCATGCCGTGTCCAAAACCTGAACCTACCCGTGGTGCCTCCATCTACTTTAAAGTAAAGTATCTAGCTCAACTTGATTGGAGGCTCACCTGGACATGCTGGACATTTGCAATATATTTTTTTTCATGACCGCTACATTAGATAGGGCCCTGGGCCCCCCCTCAATTAAACACATAAATAATTGAGGGTGCACATCTCTGATTTTTGGAAGTTATTTGAGGGGGGTCTTTAACCCTCAATTAGTTGTCTATATATTTTGCTAAGCCCCCCCTACCCTCTCTAACCCATCGACACCTCACAAACCATCAATTTAGTTTCCACTCCCCAGGTGGCAAACCCCCCATCCACAGCCAGGCCAACGTAGTACGTGAGCAGCGCTCAAAAACCAGGCAGGAAAGCAGCCACCACACTCAAAACCAGCCAACAAAAATTAATTCAGGGGGGTTGGCATCTGGAGGAGGGGTCGATTAATTTAGTTGGCTAGCTTGATGCAAGGTACACCGGGAAAATGCCAATTGATTTGTTTTATCCGACTCAAGATTGTCGATAAATTGGCGTGGAAAAGAACAAGTAGTTAATTGATGAAACACTGAAACGCGTTAATTCGTGGGTCACCCCCCCTCGATATTTTTCTCACGTGAGAACACAACTCATTATATATACTCGATCATATTGGATCACACACCCTGACAGCGGTCTCTCCCGTTTCTTCCAGTCCGGTCTCTCTGAGCTTCCCCGGCGAGTCGCAGCACACGGCGATGACGGGCACCTGCAGAAGGCCGCAAGGGGAGGCCGCAAGCACCGGTTTCGCAGTAGGGGCGGCCGTTTGAGTGAATTTTAAGGCCCAACAAACATGTAGGCTCTTGATGAGTGAAGTCATGTAAACCCGCCTGAGGCCTGAAGAAGTTCTACAATCCATTTCGGGTTGAAATATAATCGAGAGTCTACAAATCAGGGGGAAGGCTGAAATGAAGAGAAGCCATCCAAAACCCATCCATCACCAAGCACATTCAGAAGTCATTTTATATAGGATGTATGTATACTAGGATGAGGTTTGCTAAGGCGTAGCCTTACCCACAGGCCACCAATGTCTGATCTGAACCGCCTGTGACTATCAGGGCAGGGGCCACCGAAGGCCTATAGAAGGACTATGGGATCGGCGATTCGGCAGTTCCTTGTGAACATCGCATCTAACAAAGCTTGCTATGCCCAGTATCTGCCTGCGGATAAATCATGCAAGACACCGGGGAAAATCTCCCCGGTGCCTCCCTTCTCCCCTGGGCCGAGCCTCACCAGCCCGCTTCAGCACAGAGAGGACCTGCACAAAGGACTCTGGCTCAAGGAATCACGGCGATTCCTTGGGTGTCCGAGCTTTCTGGCTACTTTTTGCAAGGGAGTGAGGGTAGCAACGTTTGTTCCCAAGAGGGCTGCAGGGTTTGCGGTATGGTTTTTGGCGCTACAAGTATGGCCTGGCGGGAAAAGCATCTATCTTGGTTGACATCCTGTTTATTCTTCAAGTGTTCACGGTTCCCAAACCAAAAAAGGACCCGCTGTATGATCTGGATGTAGGTGGAGGACTCTTGCAGATTTGCCTCGCGTCCTGCGTATTTGGACGACAAAAGTCCTACAGTAAATGAATCCGGATGGTCGCTCCAAATCAGCTGGGCTCCGCTAGCCACTGCTGCCCACACACATACACCCTGCACAACTGGTGGAGATGTGACTCGGCACTTCGCGATGTGAGCGGTGTTTTGGGCTGCCTTCACCGCCAAAGCGGTCTCCAGATGCTTGCCACTCTGCAGGTCCTCAGGCGAAGCGGCCGACGGTCTCCAGCTCCGAGCAGCTCAACCGTTGACGGGTCCGGACTCCGGTGGATGCTGGGTTTGGGAAACGTGTGAGGTAGGGCATTGGACCCATGTGAATCCCAGCCCAGGCCCTGAAGTAGATAGGCACTTTGAAACATAGACGAGACCATAGATTTGCGCGGCTGGCATTTCCAGTGGGGTGCCTGTGTCCATAGGCGTTCTATCTTTTGCGGGGGTGACTGTTGCAAGTGCTGACAGCGCCACATTTCGAGGCGCTTGGTCTTGCTCATAATGTGTTCGTAAGAGTCGTGTCACAAATGACGTTTTGTCTAAAGTTCATGGGAGCCAATGCCATAGTAAAACCGGCTTCTCTGCTTCGTTGCCAAATAAACTAGCCTGTTTCTGAATTTCTGCCTGATCGCGAAGAAAACAGCATGCTGGGCTGAGGCCACATAATCCACCATATTTAATATACTTGATATACTGCTTGATCATGTGGCATGCTGGTGGGCTGAGGCTTGAATTCGCGCACCAAACACATGCCCAATTTGAGCAATCGCTCCGTCTGCTCCGTCTCTCACCATGAACATGCCAGTCACTTGGCCCAGCTCGGGGTTCGAGTCACCAGTGTTTCACCCCATGCCTACCAATTGAGACCTGTGGTCCAACAACCCCTCAACTAACAGCCTGGCCAGGAGGGTGCTGGTAGGAAGCAAAGGATTCTGATTCCGATTTGAACTGGATCACCGATCACCGTTGCCAGCCAATTCTGGCTGTGGGATCCATCCAAAACATGGTGTTTTGGAGCCCTCTTCTGGGGGACCATGAGCCACAGCAACACCAGCAAGTCTCGGCAAGTCTTTCAACATCTCCCATGGACAACGCCCAACAAGAGAGAGGTTCACAGGTGTGCGGGAACACCAATGCCGAACCATTGTTCCACAACGACCCGACTCGCGACCGCCGTCCTTTTTCGAAGCTGACCACGGGCAGAGCGGCCGGCCACCCGTGCGACCTGACTTGCCCTAACATATCCGTAACGGTCACCGGTCCCGTACAGTAACGGTTGGGTATATCATATAATTATCAAATAATTATCCCAGTAACCATGGATGATGACAGTCACTTGGCAGCCAAACGGCTCAAAAAAACAATAAAAGCAGTGATGCTCTTTTGCCATCGGATGGTTACTGTTGGGACACGCCCTCAAACCCTAGGTCTTTGTGGTCTCTCTCTGGCGTTTCGCTTCACTTAGGCGTTGATCCTCAAGCGCCGTGGGTGGGCTGGTGGAGCGCGTGGGGGAAGCTGCTGCGCACTCATCATCCGCTGCAGGTCTTGCGCCACATCCTGCATCTCCAACAGGGCCCCCATGCGAGATGTTGATACCACAGTAGGCTGAGGCAAGTCATTCAACACGAGGTGGAAGGAGAAACTGATCTTTACAAACTTCATTGGTGACACTGACAAAAACCATCACAACGAATATCTCTACCTCCTGGACAGCACTATGTCAACTTAGCAGCTCTGAAAGAGGTTCTCCTCCTCGTCATATTATGTCATTCCGTCCCAGAGTACAAGGCACCCCTTCTTCTTGACAAACCCTTTCCAATGGATACCAATGGTACTGCCATAGAAGCCTGTGGGACTGCTGAAAGGATGCATTTTTGCAACAGTCCCCCGGAGTCCCCCCCCCCCCAAAAAAAAAAAAAAGAAGAAACACACACACATTAAAAACAAAGCTCTGAATGCATCTAAATGCCTCGAATCACCACCCGGACAATCCGAAAAGGTCCTCCGCCAAGCGATCCTGAAGGTACCAAGATCCGCCAAGGTCGCAAACCCAGGAGTTGTGGGGGTACCTTTTGTTGTCACCCCATGTCGTCAAATTGATCATCGTGGCATCAAATAGGACCGTCTTGAGATTTGAGCAAGGGATAAGGGCACCCGCATACCACAGTGGGAGCCTGCGCATCTTTGAAGCCTGTAGAACCCCAAAAACGTATCTACTTCTGGGCCCATTCAACTGTTGACCTACCTGCTCATGTCCATTCTCAATAAGTGAGCGGTGCAAAAGTGGGACCTAGCTCCCACTCAAGAAGTGCTAATGTTCACATTTGGAGCACCCTGCAGGTCATGTTCGTTCGTGTGGGCTAACGGTCTTGGCCAGTTTTTGGCCCATGGCACATGGCCCTTCGCCATCCTTCGCCCATCATTCATATTGTAGGTTGAGGCCTGTGAGGGGCGAATATATGTTTCCAGAGTTTCAGGTGCTTCTTCTGTCATCCCCACCTTGGTCTCAAGCTGCTCTTGCAGGCTCAAGAGTTTCTGCTCTCCTCGCGGTTCAGCTGCTGCACCGGCTTTGCGCTTCGCACCGAAAAAGGGACATGGCAATTATCTCAAAAAGTGCGAAGGCTTCAAGTTAGGACCTGGGAGGAATAAGATGCAGCCATTTCAGTAAGAGAAAGACATGACTTGATCATACTTGATCTATTTCTGCCCTACCCAAACACTATGCACCCCTTAGAAACTTGTTCTCGCTGTCTAACCAACATGAAGCAAGGAAAGGGCGGCCATATCCTGGATCCCCAACACCATATAGTACCATCACTAGTAACTAGTACCATCTATAATCATCTATCTTATATATAGCTTGACATAGCTTGACCTTCCAAATAGGTCAACCAAGTTATCCTGGTTTTGAATTACAGCCATAGGTCTGGCACGCCTGGATCACACCTCCTTGCCGCCCCACCGTCCTTGCTTTCGCTGGTCGTCTGCCGTTGACAACTGGTGGAGGAGGTTTTTCACCAGTGATTCGCTGATGTGAAGTTGCTCCTGCAGCAGCTCACCCCCCGTCACCCGTGTCAAACAGCGGCTCGAAGAATCATCCAAAGCATGCCAAAGCACCATATGGAAACCACATGAAGCCACTGTGTATAAGTACAGGGTGTCCAGAACCAGTGCACCACGCGTTTTTGAGACACCCGGTCTGCCACAGTGAGACGTGACACCGGGTGTAGAATTCCAAATCCAACGTAATGCACGTGGTGCATCCGGGCGTGAACCATCCGGGCCGCCATCCACACCTGAAGCTTGTGGACCGCCTTGACTTCATGGTCTTTGACCTGCGGGGAGATGCTTGGACCCAGCGCTGTGGGAATGAGGGTTCGTACTGGCTGAGTAGCTGGTGACATGGGGTATCCAATGGCTTGACCCTATGGAAAAGCCGGAGGTCAGGTCAAAACCATGTTGAGAGGAGTCCCAGAAAGAAACATCTCCAACGGATTCACACTCGACTCTCCCAGCCATGCCTCTTGGTTGGCCTGTAGCAGCTGCACCTGCCGCACACTGGCCTCGTGCCTTAGGAATCGATCAAAGGAGCGCCCAAACCTTTCCAAAGTTTCACAGGAACCTGGAAACACCTGCCTGCTAACTCTCTGTCCCTCCCTCTCTCTCTCTGGCAATTCTTTTCATCAGAGTCTGAGATGTCTGGGAACAGCCACTTCACCCGGCAGGCTGCCTACAGGATGCATGTTATAGATCCAAAGGGTGCTCCGAAAATTGTCACGTGATATCGAGCACTAGACTCAAACATGAACAGCTGGCCAATGTGGTGTCTACTGGCCAATTGGGCCATTGAAATCCCTAAATATCCCGTTTCTCAGAAAGGAACCCGCTTGTCTCGGAAGAAGGGAAACAGGTCTTCCGAGACCTTCTGCCCAAACCGTTTCGTTGCCAGCTCGGTTGCTCCACAGACTCGAGGCCGCTCCTGCTTCAAATCAGGACTGCATCTCAAACAACATTGGTTCATGTTCAAAGCCCCTACCAAAGCTACACGGGCCACACCAAAACACGACATGTACAGTGGTTTCAAGAGTAAATGGCACAAGAGCCCCCAAGTATACGGTGGTTGACATGGACCCCATTGCACCCCCCATATCAAAGACATCTTTGCCATCTACAGTGCTCTGAAACCACTGTAGTGCACACTTTGGCAAACCTACTTACCTTGGCACTCCCCACACCATACAGGAAACCAATCCACGTGGCCCGGCGGTTAAAAGTGGCCTGAGCAGCCCATCACTCAGTCAAAAACAGCACCGCACAACCTGTCGAGCAAGCGCTCTTGTTAGTGTTTCAATGCAAAATATCTTGAACGTGGGTTTGTCCCTGGATAGGCCCATTTCAAAAAAAAAGTGCCACGTTACGGTGCGTCAAGGAACCGAAGTTTACAACTGGCAACCGGTGCTGAAACTCAACCTGAGCGACACCCAGGTCCTGAGTCGCTTCGCTTCTTCATGTGCCACCTGCAGGTGCCAAAGCCAAGGACGCACAAGTTGTGAAATGCCGTCGCTGCTGTTCTGCCCAGCGCACGACCCTGGAGTTTCTTCCAATTCCAATCTGTCCATCTACATCGGCTGATGTCCCTGACATAGCAGCATGTAGCACCTGCCTGGTAAAGAAACATTGTTGCAAACCTAGCCCATAGAAAATCACATACTTATATATATACATGTGATGGAAACCATCGAAAGGGTCTGCAGGGCTTGAAATGAAAGGCAGCGTCGCTCTTGACCATCCATGGGTCCATCCACAACCATACCCCTGGCCCTATCAGGAATACGCCTGTTCGAGGTAGAATTTTGGTAGGAGGGGACGAAAGCCAGCCCCCCCCCCCCCGCGTATGTGTGACGGGACCCTACTGCATCCGTCGTGTCTACTTGACTTTCTTCGTGTGCCTACCTTCTCCTTCTACTTCCTGCTTTCTCCCTCTACCTTCGGACAAAGTGCGGCAGTATCGCGGCGGCTCGCGCAACACGGCGGGTGCGTTGTGGAAAGGGCCGTCTGCCCACGAATCCAATTTTTGCTTGGGACGTAGTGTTTGGGGACCTTCAGAAGTGCTTGCGTGATCTTGTATGTATACTTTTTTCGAACGATGGGGCGGTTGAAAAATATGCCCGCAAAGACCCATGTGCGAGCGAATTCTTCTTGAATGTTTTGAGGCTTCAGTGAAGAGGCTTCCCAAGGACAGGCGGACAAGCACGTGCAATTGAAGGGCAATGTCTTGCCCATGGTACAAATGGACCCTTTAGTGATCTACATGGCCAGTACAGGTATTATGCTTCAACGAACATCTTGGTCGAGGCATGGCATTACCGCTCTGTCCCACTGTCCTTGACTCAGCAGCGACCTGCTTGCACTATGGATGCATGAGTTTGACGAGGCTGCACCACTGACAAACTCGTTGGCCAAACGGCCAGTTCAAGGTTACGTGTCCGCCCAAAACAATCACGACGTGTCCATTCCAGTGCCCGACTTTCCTGCATCCTGCAGGATCCTTCTTCCTGCTTCTGTCCTTCTTTTTCGTTCTTGTCCCCTTCTTCCTGTCTCTTCCTTCTTCTTCTTGCCCATTCCCTCCTCCTCCTCTAAAGCTACGTGTAATAGGATACGAATAAGCAGCAAACGTGTCAATTCCAGTACCGAACTTTCCTGCATTTTGCATGACCCTTCTTCTAACTTCTTTCCTTCTTCCTCGTTTTCACGTCGCAAACATTCTGTGATGTTGCGAAAGGTTGGCGGCACTTTACTGTGGATCAAATTCTTGATGATCTCCGCCGCCTTGGATTTTCCGAAGGCAAGAAAAACATACTCTGAAAAAAAGAAACATGTGTGCAACATGTGCAAAAAGGAACCTTTAACAACATTTAACAAAAGGAACATTTAATCATTCACCCAGATAACATCATATAACGACGATAATCAAAACCAGCTCACGCGGGGCCGCAAGAGTTGTAAGCGTACAGCAGTGACTCCCGGTGGCAAAGGCTTCATCTTGAGGAAGGCACCGATGCACTGCCCACGCCGAAGCTCTGGCGCAATGGATGACTGGCAGCCTGGCGGGTCGCTAGCCATATACTACAGCTGCAGCTGGAGTGAAGGTTGGAGCTGGGCTCTCTTGTCTCGAAGTCAAGCTGTCAAAGATCTTCAACACACTGGGGTCATCTGGGGTCAAGATTCTCAGGAAGCTGAGACATTGACTCCATGGAGTCAGTTCCAGCTGCAGGCATCTTGGATGGCATGTTGCTGTCTGGATCATGGGTTAGCTGCTGGAGCCTCTTTGCAAATTGGCCAACGAGAGACACCAGTAGCCGTTCAGCCTTGACCTTATCCATGAACTGTTCATCCCCCTTCGGTGAAACTGTCTTCGACACCTTCCTGCCTAGTGCCCTGCTGGGCTCAGTCTCACAGGTTGCCGAGTCCTCAACCTTGGCACAATCCTCAGAGTCAATGTCCATGTCATTGCCCTGAAGAAACATGGCCACTGCGTTGGTCACGTCACGCTCAAAGTCCGCCTCGTCATCCCCGTCCACCTCGTCAAACTTAGCTTCCTTGCACGAAGTTTGTTGTAGAGAGGGCTCGGGCTCCAGAGTGGGCTCATCCTGCAACCCTGGGAGCAGGTGGTTCGAGAGATGGTCATTCCCGTTGGTGAGACAGTGCGCCTCTGCTAAACTAGGATTGTACTGGTTGGTGCGTTCACCCTGCCAGGTGTTACATCCTGTGAAGCCGGCATGTAGCTGCCGCATGCGAAGAGGTTCCCCCATCCTTTGACCACCCTGCATTACCTGGAGCTGCTGTTTCAAGGCGTGCTGTGCGCCCATCTGCATCTGGTTGCGGCTTGCATACATGGCATACATCGGCTGAGCCTCTTGATACGCAGGGCCTACAAAACCACCGTGACAAGGTTGTTGCTGGGGACCCGTTTGGTACCCGTTTGCGTCCGGCTCTGCGCCTGCACCCGCCAGCTCCGGCTCCGGCAGCATTCGGTGGAAGGCCAAGTGGGAAAGGACGAAACGGGAGGTAACAGCTGGCCATGTCGTGTTTTTTTCGTGCTTTTGACCAGAATCCGTGACAGTGAGACGTTAAAATATTAGGCTTGAGCCGATCTACAGCGTGTGGACGAAACGGGAGGTCGCCGTGATTTGTGTCCGGTCTTTTCAGCGCAAGACTCTCCAAGAGCGAGTAGCACGGCTCGGGAGCGTCTCACTTGATTTTAGCCCACCTCACCCACCTCTCTCCCTCACTCCATCATATTCCAGCCCTCTCTTTTTGGTGTTGTCCCTCTCTGTCTGTCTGTCTGTCTCCACGCCTGCAGGTCACCTTGCAGTTCAGTCTGGTGCTTCTTCGCATCCTGCACGAGAGAAAATGCGACGAGAAACCACAGCGAGCTGATCAGCTTTTCAATATTCTAATTCCACGACTCCATGCACTGTATGGCCTATTTACCTAAGTGGTTCCGGGGAACAATGTAGGCATTATATTAGGTATATATTCCATACATGGAGTGTCTGGGCTTGCAAAGCAGATCTCTGGCAGACCACCTCAGCGTCCCCTCCTGCAAAGCAGCTGTCGAGGCTGCTGCCGCAAAGGCCGCTGAGGCGTTAGCACGCCGATGAGTGTCCTGCAAATGATCAGATATACATGGCTCACATGACACACGTTTGGATGAGCTTGAGGAGCCGGGAAAGAATCTTCCCGGAATTCCATTTGCCTACTACACAATGGAACAATAGACATCACCCTAGCAAAAGCATGCACTTGAGACTTGAGATGATTCTTTCGTGTTCTCCCCGTTCCAGCTCCTTCAATGGAGGCCCTTAAGTAATGATTTGCGATGTGATATGCTGGCCCCATTGCCGCATCACTTGGGCTTTGGATTCTCCCTTTGGTGGAAGAGCAGTGGCTCATGATACTTGGTCATGATCTATTAGCATGTCAATGTGACTACCTGCTTGTGAAGCAACCCCCAAACCAGCGGCCAAAGTCTCCACCCCGTGCGTATGCATGCTATACCAGGCAGCTACCCTCCCGCCAATATCGGCCTGTTCTACTTCCACTTTCATCCAATGGCTTCCATGCTCCATGGGTTTGCCTCCGTCCTCTCCCATCGTGAGGGTCTTGCTCTCCGTCCGATCCCCACCGGTTCGCCAAACACGGAGTATGTTCTCCGTGTTCTCCCACACCATCCGTTGCCCGCGCATGAGTCCAAAAACACCATGCAGTTTAGCCGTTTAGCCCATTGATCATTCTTAGCAGGGGTGGAAGAGCATCGTTTAGCCCTCGCGCACCCGGACCTCGATCTCTTGCCGCAGATCTCGGATCAGGCCTGGAGCATCGGTTTCCATTCAGCTGCTTGGTAGTGAAGTACCCACGGATGATAAAATATTTGAACATGTCTCTGCTGATTCACCTCGAACAAATAGAAACAGCAACACGAGTTGATGATCTACTCATTCGCAGGCGGCACGGTCGTAAAGGACCAGCTCGTCTTCCCATTTGTCGGCCTGTGTCCACTTCCAGTGAGGAGTTGGAGTGTAGTCATTGAGATCGCTCATATTTGAACCATCTAAACAAAATTGCCTTCTGAAGATTCAAATGCTGTGGGTCTTTCCTATTGGCAGGATTCAGTTGATGATGATGATTGTGATGATGATGATGATGATGATGATGATGATGATGATGATGGTTAGTAAAGGCCTTTCTCTCGACATAGTCATAATTGTCTACCGACTGTTACAGGTAATGGGACAAAACCAACAAATGCTTGATCTGAAAACTGGCAAGAACAAAAACGCAGGCTGGTTATGGTTGGTTGCCCAAATTTAGAAGACTGCAGAACGGCAGTCTTTTCGGCCTTCCTCTGCAAACTGTCGTCGGTGGCCACCTCATCACATGCCACGGGGGAGGCCATTTCATCGTCAACCAAAGCCAAAAGAACAAAGTTGAACAAATGCCAGATATACTAAGTACAAGTATACTAAGTATACAAAATGCCAGATATACCAAATGCCAGATGCAAGTATACTAAGTATACAGTACAAGATCTTCTCAGCTGCTTTCCATTCCTCTCTTCCAGGCCTTCCATCCTCACGTAAGGCCTGTTTTGCATGGACTTTTGGGGTCTGTATCGTGAGAAGGCCCACATAGAAGTACTCTTCAAAAGAAGCGAACTCCTTTGGTCCAACCAATCCGGTTCCCAGCCGGGCCATGGGAGGACGCTTTGCGCCTTGCGCGTCTGACTTCGTCTGACTGGGCGTCACCGTGTGGTGAAGACCCGACTCTTTAGTGAAGGATCTGCAACAAAAGCCTCAGGATCCTGGGCAGCCCTGCCCCGAAACGGCTCTTTCAGCAACGGCCAAATGATCTAAATAATCCATCAAACGTTGCTATAAACATTATAAAGGACAAACCCCTCCAACAAATGACACGTGCATTTTGCGAATGTTACACACAACAGAGATGTCTGGCAAGGCATGAGTTCATCACCTGGCTCTCTTGGTTCGGACATTCTCGTGGTGACTTCCGAAGGGCTCCCTGTTTCAAGGGGAAGACGCCTCTTCCGCCGCACAAAACAACACAACACCCTGCTCCAGGGCACGCTCCAGCAGCTTGGTGACCAACATCGATAGCTCGGCCAAGACCTTCTGGTCCTTCAACGCCGCACTCCGGAGCTCCATGCCGCCCATGGTCAACCTTGTGCCGCGAGGGCAAGCGCAACGGTGAGACAGGTGTGGTGGGATGATGGTGGGATGGGTTAGTATAGGAGGGGGAAAGGATTCCAACAGCATTCTTTTTAACTTTGATGCAAACAATCAGGTGAATTCCTGGTGAAGCTGCCTGTTGCAAGATCCTCGTCAATTTGTGCAGCAAAATCAGCCAAATGCTGCAATGATGCAACCGCATGACTATCGCATCACAAATGAACGGAATTGAATTCGCGCTTTCTGGCTTTCGAGGAGTGCTTTCATGTCCAGGCTTAACCCATGTGACCGGCCACAAGCACCGTAACCCACACACAGCGCCGGTCGTTGAGACCCAAGTGCTCTTGTCTCAAATGCTCCACCACTGCACCCGCCACCTCAGGGGACTCCGTCCGGACGAGTCGGCGCAGGTTTGGTCAGTGACCGCGCGCTCAAACCGGAGCTGATGTGGTACCGGTTTTAGGAGAGTGTGGAGGGGTGGACCAAGGGCCAAAAACAACGCCAAACAACTCCAGTTAGGATAACTCATGTGAGAACATCAAGGGATGCACTGGGGTCTGAACCCAACCCCCAAAAAAGGACCTTGTTTTTCCTCAGTGACTGATTTGACCCAGCACCTCACTCTGCAAAAGACTCCAAATTGGATTGGACAACCTGGACCACAAGTCTCCAAAACGTGGGCGCCGCACATCTGAGCACCTCGCACCTGGTTCACCCAGCTGAATCCCAAAAACACCCGGCTACCCCAGTGTGAAGAAGGTCTGGCAACGAGAAGACATCCCAAATCCATCCAAATCTATCCCAGACACTCCATGTATGCAATATATGCCTACATTGACCCCCCAAACCACCCCAATTGATCGGCATATATGGCAGTCCCATGGAGTGTCTATGGTGTTTGCGAACTTCACCACCATTCGCCCTTTCGGTGCCGCCACGCGGTGTGCCTCCAGCTCCTCATCCAGATCCTTGATGATCCCTTCACGCTCGCCGAGAAGCTCGGTGGCCTCGAATGCCTAGGCGAGTGGCAAAGCAAGTCAGTCCTTGAAGAAAATCTTTTCATGCAATGTCTGTCTGTCTGTCTGTCAGTCTGTCTGTCTGCCTGTCTGTCTGCAAGTCTGTCTCTGTCTGTCTGTCTTCTAAGGTCTCTAGAGCATGCCTGGTCGAGGTGTGAAATGTGACCACGGTTGAGTCATGGACAGTCATGCAATGTCATGCACATGAGCCGCTTGGCAAACTTGCTTTGGCCACTTGCCCCTCTGAACCAGTTGCGAACACGCCAAGCACTAAACTCACTAAACAAGTTTCATCGGCCGTCTGAGGCGCCGAAGAAAAGCCCCTCCAGTGGTTTGGCCGAAGTCGATCGACTGAGACGAGCCATCCCAGGCCCGCTATCCTCGCATGTAAAGCAGCACAAACGCACGCCTGCATGAATTACAGCTCGTTGGATGATTCCCACCTCTATGGAAGAAGCGATAAGTTCTGGCAGAAGGGTGGAAAGAAGAATATGCATTTCTTCCACGACAGACGGACCTCTATGCATGATTATTCCACCCTTTCCTCAAGCAGCAGATCGTTGGACACCGAGCGTCCCGCTGCTCGGCCGCAGCAGCGCGCCGCTCAGCGAGGCTCTGAGCGCTGCGGAGCTCCATCTGGAGAGACCTGAGAAGGTCCCGCTGCCCTTGGAACCTCAGTGGAGAGAAGTCGAGACGAAGGGAGTCGAGACGGGAGACCCTTTCCAAACACGAGATCTCAAAGGGACTGGCATATATACATTGGGGTGGTGAGCAGGGGGGTCGACAGGCATATATGACATGGCATATATGGTCTGGGGATGGTTCTGAGTCGAGAGTTGAAGATAACGGTGATGTAGTTATAATTGACTATCAGTCAGTCCTGTTGCTGCTTAAGCAGGCGTGGAGTACAGGGTTTGCGACAGAGTTGCCGTGGAAAAAATGGACAAGTCCGTTGAAGAGCCTGGCTGGACATGCATACTTCGGGTCTATATATCATATATTATCAGTGGATGATGGTTCAGTTGCGGGCCTTGTCCACACATGTAGAGACAGAGATTAAAAAGAAAATTGTTTACTGACTCTAGGACAGACCCAATGCGATGTCCGAACAAGACGATCAGCCCAACAATTTCTGGAGGTGCGATGTCCAAACTTGATCAGTAGCAGTACCACCTGCAATCCCCGTGGATAATACTTCTCTATCACTAAACATCTGAACAATCTGGGAAGTTCACCAGCTCCTTTTCAACTTCCCTCTCTTATCCTCTTCCTCCCTTCCCTCCCTCCCTCCCTCCCTCGCTCTCTGCGTGTGCCTGGGGCTAGAGTGTACGATACTGTAGTGTATGGCACTTTCAACATGTCAAAATACCGGTGCCACTATAAGCATGGTTCCAAAACAATCGTAAACTCATTGACTCATTCAACGCTCCCAACTCGATTGGCACTTCGAGTGGCAAACTCTCACAACCCGCACCGCAACGAGCACCAACTACCCCCCTTCCGGCTTCTCACCGCGCGAGAAGCGTGGCGCTCTCATTCTGGGCCATATTCAGCTCTGCTTTTAAAGTCCTCACCTGCGCACAGTTCTCGGGTCCCTACGATGCGATCAACGCTTGGGGATAGAATTGATGGGTTTTGTTGTCACTTCAGGTCCCAGCTGCATTGTAGTGGCGTTGCATTCCTGAGACATCTATATACATGGCACACTCAGCCGCATCCATCTTTTTATCAGGCTCAGCGGACATGGACTTTGCAGCAGGCTCAGCGGACCAACACTGATGCTCAAATGATGGTGGGTCAAAACCAGTTGCTCTACGTGAGCACCCAACACCAACATACGACCAGAAAACCGTACAAACAAATGCATACTCAGAAAACCGTACAAACATGGTATTTACTGAGTCCCTCATCAAAGTGCTAGTTTTTATGTGCATTGACCCACAACCAGATCACCATAGCAGTCACAGATTCCCAACTCGATCTTTCGACCAGGTCAGGATCCTGAATGAGAATGAAGCCCATGCGCCGTCTCGAGTCTTCAGAAAGTTCGTCTGTACCTTGGGTTACCTGCACCCAGCAAATTGGTTTTATAAAACAACAACAACAACGACAACATCTCCAACCCAGGCTTTTCAGGGAAAAGTGATCTCATGTTGTCTCCTGGGTATTGTTGCTAGGTGCCAGGATAACCCAATATGATCCATGCCATTGTTGGATGTGGAGCCAACACCAGAAACATCCACAAAGCCCAAGTTGCCAGCGATGTCATCTGATGCTGCCTGGCGCTATGCCGCATAGATTTAGATCGATGCCTAATGCAATGCAGTGATGAAACTAGGTGGTAGCCAGTCACCATTCCGCATAGCCCTTCTGGCTGCGCTCCACATCTGCCTCAGAGAGTCCTCGTTTGGCCACCTCAGCGGCTACAGCTCCTTGGAATTCTCCGAATTGCTGCGTCTGGTCCAGAATCTGGTATGACCAGGCCAAGGCGCACACACCCCAATCAGGCACCGATGAAAGCTGCGAGCCAGCACTCATCAACCGCTGCACTTGGCTGAGAAGCTCGTCATCCTCAAGTCCCAACCTCGCGCAGGCCCAAGCAACAATGGGCAAAGAAAGGCCCCGTTCTCGACTATCCACGCTTGGCGTCAATCGCATCACCTGCTTCATCATCAGCTGGATCGTTCCCACATCCTGCAAAACGCCCTGCAAAACGACCAGCGCCCACAAGCTGTTGGCCAACTCTTGGGGTTTCATCTTGTCAGCCTTGTCTGGGATGTGGGCAGCAAGTGCTGGTGCCATCTTCCTTACATCATCAGGCACAAGTTCCATCAACTGCCCTAATGACCAAAGGCTGTTTGACAAAGCTTGGGGGATCATGCTCTCAGACTTGACCGCGACCTGGTTAGCAAGTGCTCCAACGATCTTAGCAACTTGATCTGGTGCCACATCCTTCAACTTCTCTGAAGCCCACAGGCCATTGGAGAGTTCTTGCTCTGTCATATCCCGAACTATCAGCGGCAAAACCTTGGCTAAGGCGGGTAGCAGCTGAATCACCGAGGGCATCGCACCAAACAGTATTGCGACTGACCGAAGCACATTCGCAGAAGCCTGTGCGTTGAAACGACCTTTTCCAATCATTGTCAGAACTTGAGACTGGAACTTCATGATTGCAGGGGATTGTGCGCACTCATCTGGCAACAGCCCTGCTTGATAAAACTTGGCCAGCGTGACATACGCTGCCGAAGCATGGAAGTAGTTCAAATAAGGAGCACCAGCCGCCTCTTCCAAAACCACCATCAAGTCCTCAGCCGACTTGGCCTCATAAATTCTGGAAGTCAATTTCGGAGCATCAGGAGACCGTGGAGTGGTCGCGCGCCTCTCACGCACGAGTCGCGGCAGAATGGTTTGCATTCGGTCGTTCCGCAGTCGTCTTTGGAGAGTTCCTCCGACATAGTTGCGATGGGCGAAATCACAGCAACTAAACAACACCAGGCAGCATGGGAGCAGCCATCCAGTCAAGTTCCTCCGCTTCTGTGCTGCGCGCACAAGGTGGCATGAGGAATTGGACATGGCTGAAGAGGAATGGTGAGGCCGGGCTTCTATTGGCACTGACTTCAGGTCAGCTTAAGCATGATTGAACAGTAAAACACGCTCAAACTAGAATGTGCACACTCGGATCCTTTGATGAGCTTTCTTTCCTGTTCCGTCAACTTGTCTCTATACTGGTGAGCCCGCTTGGGAGAAATCGACAAAAAAAACAGAGGCGCTCGAGCGCACACGCACACATAGCACGATGCAATAACACATGCGGATTAGAACAAACACTGTCAAACACACAAAGAACATGAATCCTCCTCTCAGCCACCCATGCCTGCAGGGTCGCTGACATCATGACTAACGATTTTGTCGCAGGTAGACAGTACGTCTTGACGGACATGACCCATCAAACGCAAGGTTCTAAGGCTACTGACCTGTTCAGCCCGCCAATCTGTCCAGCCTGATTCTGTGCCTGATTGAGCTGTCGCAAATGTGCCATACGCGCCAGGTAAGTAATCAGCAGGAGCACCACAAAAGTGATGAGCCTTGGATGGGGATAGGGGTGGGCGTTTGTAGAAAATCAGCCTCTTTACAAAGAACTCCAATGGGTTTCCCGGTTGCATATATATATATATATTATACTATAATCATCAAAATTATCAAATACTTCCCAGCTGTCCCGAGTTTCCGAACGAGGGGTGCTTCAGTGGGGGTGCTTCAGTGACATGTTTTCATCATCCTTGGTGACCATAGTTCGTCGTGGGCCCCGATTCCTCCGTCGATAATCCGACAAAACTTCCGCCGGCAGTCAACCAACAAAAGCGGTCTAAGCACAGTACTTCGTTTTGGCAAGTCATGTTTGACTGGCGAATGGATCAACAAGCAAAAAAACTCGGCCGGGACTTCAAACGGTTCAAAGGCCATTTGGCTGCCAATGGGTTGGGGGACGAAAGGTATCCATCCAGCATAGCCAAAAGGCAGCTTCCCAAGCACCAGCAGGCCACCATAAGCTTCCTCAGTGCACGGGGCGGATGTGGATGTAGCCCTGTATAGGCCCTATACTGACCAGCAAGCTAGTTATGTGGGGCATAATTTGCTGCAGGAACATGTTATCAATCTACAATAACCTAGGGACCTAGAGGTCGGTGACCTCTACAAGAACAAAAAATCAAATATAGATCATTGACAGATAAATATTAAGTTGTAGCTTGACACGTTGTTAAGCGTGATACACCCAAGGTTGTGACATGCTACTAACCATTTAGCTATATACTTTCTCAAAAGCTCCAGAAGCCGGATGAGCACGTTCCTTCATCGAGATCTACATGCCGCACCAATCGGTGGAATTCGTGACCCCCGCAAAATGGCAAACTGCGTTGAAAGCATGTACTGTATTGGAACAAAAGGATCGCGTTTCTATGCGTTTCTCTATCAAATTGGTGTTTGCTCACGTTTAACCGTTTGCTCCCAACAAAGTGTAGAGATGAGGCTTTTCATCTGTTTGCCACCTGTCTGACCCACTGAATCCTTCCACCAAGATGCCTTTCGAGCCTCCTCTGCAGCCTGCTGCAGCTGGGCTGCCTGCACGTGTGCTCGAACCATGCAGCGTTTAGCCAACCCTTGCTGCTTGCTGAGAAAACCTTGCCCTTGGTGGACTTGAAGCATGGCAAAGCTGCTGCGAAAGTGAAGAGGCCAAAGTCCGTAGGTCAAGATTCTCTCCTTTGGGTTCTTGATCGGTTTCCACTCCGCACCACATGTCTGACATCTCTTTTGTTTGAGGCCTTCAAACTCACAACCACACCCCCGCCCATCGATACAACAGCCAACTCACACATGAGCCACGTCCAACTCACATGAGCCACAACCAACTCACATGAGCCACGTCCAACTCGCATGAGCCACGGCCAACTCACAGCCACAACAGCCAACTCACATTGAGCCACAAACACATGGACTTCCTTTCAGATCTTTTCAGTGCAAAGCGCATCAAACCGTGACCTCCAAGAGGGCGAATGTGACCTCCAGTGTGTGTGTGTGTGTGCTTCATGCTTTGGACTGCGCACCTTCACGCGTGCCCCGCGCAAGGCTTCACGCGTGCCACGCGTCCCCATGCTTTGCCCGGCGTCTTCGTCCTTGGATCAGCTGGGATCAGCTGGGGATGGCGGGCAGTGTTCCAAAGGTTTAATCCAAGGGATGGGATGAGTCCTTCTGCAAGTCATGGTAACAACGGAAGGCCTGTAAGTCTGAAGAATTGGAACACATGCCGCGACATCTGCTGACATGTGTGTGCCAGGCGCATCACTTCTTCCAGCCATTTCTGAGATCAGTGGTCTCCCAACACCCTCCAAACTAGATCCACCCACTCTTACGCCCCGACCTCCGGTGGAGTTGGAGCGGAGAAAGCACTGAAGGCCTGGTGGACCCGGACAGGTCGTGGGGGGACCAGATCTGGCACTTCAATAGGGTAATGGGAGCTATCTGGCATATCTGGTGGGAACTTTCTGCCATGTCTCCAAAGCTGTTCCTGTTTAACCTTCTGACAGCCTTCGGACTGGCCGGTCGCCTTCGGTGAAAGCTTCCAAAGATGTCCAAACCGATATGGCAGAAACCCTGAGTAGACAGCTGGAGCTTGGCACACACGCTGACACCCCCCACCTTTGGGCCGGGCCCTCGCGTACAGTAGCCAAGACCTTGGAACAGACGTCAGAAGCTTCACACACCATCTTCCTTCGTCTGACTTAGCCTGGAAGGTGGACAATGGATCCTCGGAAGGCTGCTTTCCACGAACAAGGGGTGGGTAAACCCACGTCCATCTGATGCGTTCCATCCGGTTGTGTGCTGGTGATGTCGACATGTGTTCCATCGTAGTGTCCCTGGAGTCGATGTCCATGGGATCCGAGATGCTAGGAGTAGCGTCATGGGGGTCTCAAAACGGCATCATTCAAAACACCTTTTGGGATTTGGTTCAAACATGGGAAATGATATGATTATATATATAACTACTCATAACTAGAGCTTATTACATCTTATAACTATATATGTACTTATATATATTAGGAGGAAGTTCATCGAAACACCTTGAAAAGCACCTAGGCTCCCCTGCCATGCCCTCTCTGAGTTGCTGTAGCCTGCGAACGAACGAGATCATACCAAACTCATTTATGTACTATGTCTACTATGAAGCCACTGGGAACTCCAAAGCAAATGTTTCAGACCTACTTATAACTTATAGACTACACGGCAAGGATACTTGGAACATCAAAACAGGGAATCTCCAGGGAAACTAAACTCAACTAGCATGGAATAATAATGCATATATAATATGTTTATAAATAAGACATTAGATTATATATAATATAAAAGCGCAAAGACTGAGGCTGAGGTGCTTTGCACCTTGGAAGGGGCACGGAGCATGAGCTGTGCAATACATGTTTGAAGAGCTCCAGAAAGTAGCTCACCCACTTGATCCTAAGTCTCCGCCTTCATCCAGTGGCACCCAAACGGCGCGCGTGTGGCACCCAAACGGAAGACTCGGCCGAGCCACGTGCCCCGCGTGCCCCGCGGGTCGCGAACGGCTCGGCCGAGGAAAGTCGCTGACGTAGAACGTTTTGAGCCGCTGAAGTACTCGGCTGCGGCGAGCGGCGGGTCTGGAGTCCTCACCACACGCGACCACGAACGGCCAGGCCTTTCTTAGGGTTGATGGTTTCGACATATTTCAACTCACTTTTAGGAGAATATGAGGATCAGTGGATCTCAGTGGGTTCAATGATCCCATCGAACATCGGTTTCACCACGCAGTAGTGCTTCATGTAGACTCTTGATTCATGTTCACCCCCCAGAGGCAGAAGAGCAATGCTCGGCTGGCACTGCGAGGGCGGGAAGACTCCAAAGGACCGAACGTGCCGTTTATCCGGTCGTCACGTCTGAGTCTGCTGCCTTGAGGTTTCGGTACCTGAGAGGACGGTAGGAGGGGTGGAGAGCAGGAGGGCAGGCAGAATGTCCTGACTTGAGGTGAATCTCTTTTCCGTCTTTTCTGTCCCAAAAATGATCCGTCAATGACTGTACGGATGACTTATATATGATATGGTATGGTATATAAACAAACACTCCATGGATATATATATATATGCCTAGGTCGACCCTACATTGACTCAGTCGACTCATTGACCCTTGAAACTATGCTAATTAGTAGCTATCGAATGATATTATATGAATAGAAGTATACATTATATTATAGGTATCTCGACTCATTGACCCCTGTATACATGAAGTGTCTGGGATACAATTATATATATATATGTATTGATTCAGTTTGTCTGAGTCTGGACTACCTTCTTTGTCTGACACGGTGCCAATGCCATGTACGACAGAAAAGCACATCTCTCCCGGTGGGTGTTGGACTAGATCCGTCGGTTCCCTTAAGCGTTGGACCACTTTACCTTAAGAATCCACCAGCTATACACTTGAGCCTACCGGGTAGCCGGGTAGACCATCAGCGGGTGGACCCCTGACTCCTTCTTCCTGGTCAAGGCGGCTCATCCGATCCCGAAGGGCCCAGAGATCCATCCCGAGTCCCATCAGTTTGGATCCCTAGACACGACCTGGACCTGGGACTGCCAGTCCGGACTGCCGAGAAACGGCCAAGGGTGGTTGACCAGGGGTCTGTCTGGGGCGGCAGTCCTATGGAGTGTCTTGGGCTAGGGCTCCAACGATGTTTTGAGAAGATGCTTGGGGAGGATTTGGGAGGTCTTAGCACCTTCTGATATGGTGAAGTCGCCCGAAGGGATGATCAGGATCTATATCAAGCAGGAAGGAACCTGGAAGTCACTGATCCACATGACGGCCAAGCCTAGCCGAGCCCCAGGCGAGTCGGGAAAATGAACACCTGGCTCCTGGATACGAAAAAAACAACATCTTGACTGAGACAACTGGTCACCCGGAAAGACATTTTTGCAAAGTCGCTCAACAGCTCAATTTGTCGCAAGAAACTCAGCCGAAATGAGAGTTCAAAATGCTGCGCGAGAAATCCAACTCCTTGCAGACATAAAGGTTTAAAAGTCGTAAAACATCAACAAACCTTCCCGCTTTGAGACCCATTTGGGCCGGCGGACAAGCCACGCACGACAGCATCCATGCGACACCATGCGAGCAGCATCGCATCGCGTTGCTGGGTGGGGCAGCAAAACACACCCGTCTCCTTCAAGCTCCGAGTCCTCCGGGCGCCCTTCTTCTCCAAGTGCTCCTGTGGTCTTCAATTGTTCGAGTCAATTGGAACCAGTCCAGCACCACGGACGGATATTGGATGGACAAGAGATAGTCAGGGGTGTCCATAAACCACCCTTCCCACTGGGTGGAGACTGGTTGAGCACGATGGATCCAAATAATGGCATAGCCAGCGGTCATCGAACGATGGCAAACATCGAAGGATCATAAGATCATACGTCCGGAACCTGATATGGCCTTCTATACCAAGCGACTACCCCGCAACAAAACATCTGGTGGTGCTCACGCATGGAGTCCCTGGAAGACACACCAATCTCAACCAAACAGGCTTAAACGGGGGTCCACTTCTATGTGACATGCTCGTCGGAGTGTCTGGGCTTCAGGGGCCAAGACAAGTTGCACATAGTTGCACAGTGCCCTGCCAAACCCGCTCCACCAACTGTTCGATGAGCTCGAGGACCTGACCGGCGCAAAGCAGTGAACAAAAATGGAACCAAATGATGGGAGCTTGTTGATTTGTCAACTCCTACATCTCCTTTCATTGGCATGTAACTAGGGAATCCATAAAGAGTCAACATGAGGGCGTTCCAACACATTGAGCGGGTTTTCACATCTTTTCACCAACTTTTGGTCGAGGTTGAGGTTCAGCGGCAAAACCTAAATGTAGTTTTCTTGCCAGGCAGCCGGGCCTAGTTCTGAAGGTACGAGTACAAAAAGGGTCAATGAATGCCAATGGCTCTAAAGAAGTGCCAGGCCTGTATCCAAGACACTCCATGTATGGACATGGAGTGTCTGGGTCTGTTTCGGGTTCTGCCGAATGGCTATGGCCGAATCATGGTACGTACCTGAAGGTCATGCCTATGCCTATTGAAGCTCAGGACTAAGCAACTAGCCTGGCACAAATACGACAAACAACAAATTGCAAAACACTGCAGGTGACGTCTGTCGATGGAGCACATGTTGCGGAACGTGTTTCGTCTTCTGATCTCACCGGGCGTTCATCAAAAGCGCTTGCGTTCCTCAACTGTCCTTCTACTTGTGACCGTGTGACCATCAACCAACCTGCCCAGCAAATCAGCATATCCCTTACACTCATACCACCGGGACTCGAACAATGAATCCGCCCCACAACAAATGACCGAAAACTATAAATAGTTGTAATATGTGATAATATCATCCAACATCATGTTTATATATAATATCATCCAACATCATAAACAAGATAGATACAAATCAGAAATCATTCACCCCCTGCACGACAGGCCCATCCTGTGCCTTGCGCCGCTCCTCCGCAGCACCCACGGCACCAATCCTCGGCGTCGGTCCGGTGACCGGACCGGACCTACTGGGAATGTGAGATATTAAGACAGTAGGTAACATGACACACAAGGCACACTACTAAGACATGAATTGTAGGTAACATGAACTTTTGACACAGGCACACCTCAAGAAGTAAAAAAGTTCATACACTGAATCCAACATGACACACTACTAAGACTCGAACTGAAGTGATCATCTCTATCCAAATGTTCCGGAATGTAGTTGCGGGTCTATGAGTCTATGAGCCGCTCTGCTGATCATGTGGTGCAGGTGGGTGAGAGCTCCATGGGCGTCCAAGGACGCGAGCTGATTAGGTCTAGGCAGGCCTCATCTCTAGCACAGGACCGAGTCCGTCTTGGATCTTTGAGCAGGGGAGAAGAGATTTTGATGGACTCACAGGAAGGACATGTCCAAGAACAAAAATATCCAAAATCCAACAGCAAACCAGCAAACCCCAAATACATGGACCACATGCAACAACTTCCCACCACAATCATACAACAAACATACAAGCATACAAGAAGAATTCAAGAAGAATTCATATGAATTCATCATGTTTAGAGAATGTTTGATACCGAAAGATCCCACTGACTCCTTCTCCATTCCGAACCCCCCGGGCCATTCCGAACCCCTGGGCCGTCCGGACTCCTGCGCCCGAGCGAAGGATCTCAGTGCCAAGTCGTAGTCCTCCGCGTCGCACCGGTCGGACCGGGTCCGACCAGTCCGCGGAGAACGGTCCGCGGAGAACGTTCGACCGACCCGAAGTGGGCTGAAAGGCGGCCCGTTGGTTGAAATAGACCACCTTTGTGAAACTACGTTATACTGCCCTGAAATCGTAAAATTACAGTATTTCTTCAACACATGAGATGAGTTGTCATCTAAGCAGAAAGACTTGGCGTCCAGAGCGGTTGAGACGAAAACTGAGGATTTCAAAGACCTCGACCAGTTCTGGAGGAGTGTTAGCTGGAGCTCTTGGCTAACGGCGGAAGTTCCAACATGAATTCCTTGCTTTCGCTCCGGGGAAGGTGGCCCAGCTCGCAGTCCTACGATTCCTACGTGCCTACAATACACTCGGATGAATACTCATTACAAGCGTTGCTATATGTATGTATATATACACATATATATAAGAGAGAGGGAGACATGCATACATTCATCAATGTCTCACCCAAAACCTTAAAGTAAGTGGATAGGCAGTTCCTGGCTCAATCAAACAAGACCTTAGGCAACAAAATGGCAACCCTTGTCTGAGTCTTAGCCCTTTGGTCATCGCCGGCCCCTGCGCAGGGCATGTCGCCGCTCCTCCACATATTTGGCCGCCATGCCCCGATTGAAGTGCAACGATGGGTTCCACTTCCCCAACCTCGGCACCCGCGGCAAGCACGAGGCCCGACCCGGTGCAGGGGTCGGAGAGGTTTAGGCCAAGGCACCCCTAATCCAAAACCATCTATGGCATTGGAATATATATACTATTACTATTATTATTATTGTTATATATTACTTACATTGGGTGGTCTTTAAGATGCTTTAAAGGCTTTAACATCTTTAAGGGTCAATGTAAAGGTATATAAATATTATGTACATAGATTGTTGGGGTATAGATCCTCCAACAAAATAAACATACACTATGATACACTCACCATTTCTATCACGTGCTCTGAGGAGGCACACAAACAAATAGATACAAATAGTTCAAATAGTGGAAAAAAAGGCTATGAGAAGGTGATCAGTCTAAAGATTGCATGTCGAAGTGTGAAGGTGGAGAAGCACATGGTCAGCTGATTCTGATTGTCAGTTGACGGCCACCAAACCTAATCAGAATATCCCATCAACGCCAGCAATCAACGCCGGGGGACGTGTCGTTACCATCTCTTACCCTGGCGAATCAATGCACGAGGAAGCAACTCACGGCTGGGGTCGAAGACTTGGCGTAGGCAGCATCACTCTTCTCGTATGCAATCAAGGCCCTGAGGTTGGAGAGTCAATGACGGCAGGACTCGCCCGATGACGGCAACCCCACAGCGGGGTCTTCCCATGGTCTAGGTACGTGTCTAGGTCATTCCAAGTGCTGAAAATAGGCCGGTGGGTGGTTCTGTCGCCATCTCTATAGATCCAAACATGCCAGGGCTTGTCAAATCCCCAAAATGTCCACTGCATCTGCCCACATCACGGGGACCCACACAAAACCGCTCGGTCAGGAGTGAAAGAACGAAGATGCTCCATCCCACTTGATCAACACGCAGGTTCCATGGGTCAAAAGATGTCAAAAGGCCACACCCACGGCTTAGACCACGAGTGAATGTCTTGTCCCCGAATGAACCGCCGAAACCGTTTCACTCCGATTGGGCGTTCCGGGAAGTGTCCGGCCTTTTGATCTCATCCGGCCGTTTGGCATTCACAAAGAAGTTGCCAATCTCGGAATGGCTGCTGCGCCGATGGCTGACGGCGCAGCTGAGGAGTGCGGATGTGGATTACTGTTGGTGAACTGCACACGGTTTCGATTGGTAGGAACCAACAGTGTCTGGATTTGGATAGCGCTTGGGAGATGTTGGACGTGTAAGGTTCATGGAGCAAAAAATGAACATTCAACAAAATCCTGGAATATCCCAAGGTCCTCCAAGGTCAACAGAAAGAAGGGCGCTTGATTGCTTTATTCTATCTGCATGTTTCAAGAAAGGAAGACTCGACACCCAAGCGTTCCACCAATCCACCAACATCCTGTGTACGACCTGTGTTTTTTCACCTGATCGCCCAAAGGAACAAGATCCCACACGACGTCCAGCGCCAAGTTCCCACCGCGCTGTTCGCCATCGCGATCGCCACTCGTTTTCAGCGTCATGCTCGTTGGAGCGCTCGTTGAGCATGTTCTCGTCCACTCATTCGTTTGGGGTTCCTCCCTTACAAGACCAGTCTTGGTCCGCCCGGCCTTGTTGGTACGCCCCGCTCGTTCAGAACCAGGTGACGAAGTCATCCAAACCAGTTGACGAGTGGCTATGCATTTCAATAGCCTAATCCTCCAAGTACCTTCTGAGAAGGTGTTTGGAGTGGGTTGGGATGGTCCAAAATGTCCAATCATACCTTCTGAGGAGCTACTTGGATCCCTGCAAAACAGAAGGAACGCTTCCTGACCCTCATTCTCCTTCTTCCAGGGGGTCGCTGCCTGGGGAAACCTCAAGCTTCCCATCTATTCAGCTCTTCACCTCCGAAAACGCCAGGTTTTTCTGGCCGGATGAGGATCCTGAGACCGGTCTATCCGCCGGGCCAACGGTATGCCGACCGGTCAATTGATCTCCCTGACACCCCGTGCTCCGCCCACCGAATTGGAGGCGAATCCGTCCCCAGTCCCCGTCAGATCGTCTCCCTGATGAAAACCCTTCCATCCCCCAAATGTCCCCTGTTGGTGACTTCTGGCGATGAAGGTCTTGGGCAAAAAGTGGACTGGGGCCACCAGGCATAGGCGTTCCCCAACCTGTGCGAATGGAAAACAGAGGTCATCCCAAAAGGCGTCCCTGGCGTTTCAAGAGCTTCCAATGCCCCTGGCACCTGAGATCCATGTTTCGTGAGTGCTGGACAAAACCCGGCTTTATAATTAGTTGTGTTTCTCCAAAACATCTGCATCTTTCTACAGCTGGGCTGTGGCTACTGGTGCCAAAAAGCGTTAGTGATATACTATCTGGTTGAGGTCTGGGCATCTACTCCGGGCTCATAAGTGTCATACCGAGTCATACCTCGTTCCCGAGGCTCCGCTGCACCCCCCGGTGGTTCGTCCCAATGTGGCTGCTAGAGAAGGCTGAATGGGTCAAGCGCAAGATGTTCCATGATTACATTCATGTCCCTTGCCATGTCCTCTGGAAAAAGCTCGGACCCTTGAAAAGGACCAACCACTCGCTGCCAGGAAAACATAGGAAAACACACCATTGGATGCTCGATTTCGCCTCCCCGAAACCCAAACAAGTGTTTTCAATGTGATTGTCTTCTATGGCAACTATAGTCATGTCTGTAACAATCACACATCCCACATCCCCCCTGACTCTATGTGCTTTGTCTGTAACTAGCCATGTCCCAAGGCCCACGTCCAGGCGTCCCGGCGTCTCCCAGTTGAGGGGATCCTCTGGCCCCAGCGCCACGGCTTCCTTCGCCTTCTCCAGCGCCTGGCGTCCGCTGAAAGCCCGCCACAAGCAGGGTGGGCTGTTTTTGGGAGGCGGCCGAAAACGGGCGAAGACATGCTAAGACTATATGATCTATGACAAATGTTTGGTGTGAATAGGTGAATGGGAGGTCAATGATTGTCAATCTTTATGTTCTTTTTCACTTCTTATGTGATTTTCTTGGCAAAGATCACTTCTGGAAGTGGTCCAACGACTTGGGACTTGACCGGGATATACCGGGATCTATAAGCAGGATTAAGAACGTTATACAACTATATAGGTGCTCATGGTTGCAAGTCGTTCCAAGTGGGATATCGGTGTATCGGTGCATCGGTGCGGCGCAGATTGGACACCCGCAGCGCCGGCACAATGACATCTCCGGATCATAATCATAATCCGTTTGGAAAGATCTTTCCAAATGAGTCTATGATGGTCTATGTTCTCCGCCCTCGGCAGTTCTGGTGGGTCTGGTGCCTTGGCATAGTTCTGGCGACGCGAGGCGGCCTCAGCAGTGGTTCCCCGCTGACGCTTCTTGTTCCTAGTAGTAAGGCCAGGAGCCCCGTTCGTAGCGTCCGAACGCTCCGTTCATAGCGATGCCAGGAGCCCCGTTCGTAGCTTCTTGTTCCTATGGCCCCGGCAGTTGGAGGGTGCTGAATGGTGCGGAAGATTCCTCTGCAAGCAGGCGGTTCTTAACTTCCATGATTATGTCGGGGAGTGTCACAGGGCCTGTCAAACAGCCGAAGAGGGTCCAAAAGCCCTTTGGGACACGATCCATGCAAGGTATGCATGGCAAGGTAGGACCATGGGCACCCCTGGTTATCAATCTAAGATAAACAAGAAGCAATGCCAGGCCAGTTCTCCAATATCTAAATTCTTCTTGTCAGGAGCATCAACTTTGCAGCACTAGGTGACTACCCCAAGTTCTCTGCACAAAATACATGATCATATCAATCCATATCAATCCTAGTCTACGTGACCGTGGGTTCCACAAAGTCCGCCTCCGATTCTGCTCGGATGTGATTCCAAAAGGAGTCACGCCTCTCATTCAGGCCTTCCAGTTGGAGGGGCATCCCTGAATGACCCGCGTCTTGGATTCCGCGCCTGAGAAGCATCATCATGGCCGCCTCGCTCGACGGGGGGGCCCATGTAGCAGTGCCACGCATGGGCTTGGCTTCGAAGCTTCTTCGGTTCTTTCGGAGGTTGGTCAAACACAGAAACAGCCTGAAGGAGTGCGTGATTCGAGTCGATGCCAGTTGCCAATAAGTGGACATCAACGAGGAACTGGTGAGAAAACCACCATTTTACGAGGCCGTGTCTTGTGCAGGGCTAAATAAGAAATCATCAATCATCTTTATCATCTTTGTTGGAAGGACAAGCAGTCGACACAAACGGGGGAGCCGGATAGCCACTCGCTTGGGAATCATCAACGATTGCAATTGAACATTTGTTGGAGGCCATCGCTAGTAGGTTGGAGGCTTTGCTTGTAGGTTGGAGGCCATCTCATGGTCAGCCTTTTCGTTGGGCAAACTGGCCCCTGCCGCGCTGGCTTCCATGCGTGCTGGCTTTGCTACCGACAGGAGAACCTCCAACATGGAGGATCGCTCGGGCAACCTACTGGTTCGGATATGACCCAAGCTGTGCCAAAATATGCAAAATGCAATGGGCCATTGCACTACAATGCATCTTGAGATGCTGTCATCCACTTGTCATCCCTTCCTGTCAGTCAAAAACATGTCCCGATCGGAATCGGCCTATGGGCCTTTTGCGCCTCTCTTTCTGCGCAAACCTAGTTTGCCCAGGCATGCAGCTTGGCTGTTCAGCGCATGCATTGTGCAGCTGCAGGCGGGTGTCCTGCCTAAGCCTAAGCACCGATGTGACAATGTGCAACATGTGATGTCTGGAATGTCAACCATCAACAAGAAACACAGACCCCCCCTACTACATCCTACCACCAACTTTGCTTGCCCTCTGATTCTTTTTGAGATGCAACTTTGGAGCACAAGGTGGGAATTTGTTTGAGGGCATGGAGAACCGCACAACTCCAGCCTGCAAAGAAATTATTGTTACCAAAAGGCATCAAAAAAGCGTAGCCTCCACACTCATCCACCTTCAATTCATTCAAGTACCAGAGAACCCGGCTTGTGAGCTTCTGTGCACGGTCTTCAGGGTCCACCTTTTTTGGTGAAGATGTTTCACGACCTGTGCGAACCCCACCCACGTTTGAGATCTCTTCAAGTCGAGGGGGTTGCTATTGCTTGGTCTCCGAATGTTCCTCAGTGTTAGTTGGTCTTTGTGTCTCTCTCTCTCTCTGTCTCTGTCTATCAAGTAGCTAAGACACCGGTGCTCACTTGAAACCTGAACGATCTATCAGATCCTGTATCTGATCTCCTAAGGTCATGGGTAGCATGTTTCACCCCAAATCGCTAGGGGTAGCCTCCATGACCAGTTGAGCAAAAAACAGGCAGGACCTCGTCCTGGTATCATCTCGTGCCAATTGAAACTTTGCCACGGCAGGAGAAGGGGGTGGCGGACATTGCAAGCCTACTCAAACATGCTGCCTTGACAGTGACATTCAATTCAACAATGAATGGTGTCCACCTGTATGAGGATAATGATGAACTTATTGCTGGTCTTACCATTTGACAACTATCATAGTAACTATAGGGGTCACACAGTAGTCACTTGATACAATTCCATCAAAATTACAACAGTTGGGTGTGCTGCAATGACCGCAGCGACTCTCCAAACATCTACGATCACCTGGAAGCATTTGGCTTCCAGGGAAATCCTGCAAGCCGGCCGGTTTCGCGGCTGGGCCATGATTTCTCATGGTTCTACACTGGAGATCTTCTGAGATTCTGAGATTAAAGGTTGTTTATTCATTGAATTACTTTATTCTCTTCCATTGGAACCTCCAACATGCCCATCCGACTCAAATCCAAGCATCCAAACCATCCGCTCAAGTGCCTAGAAAACAGTCGCTGCTGGAGATTCTGGAGAAACTAGGAAATGCACCCAAGAATGGTCTACCCTTAACCTGGCCTATGAATCAAAGCAATGGTTAGTTAAATTAAATTACTACTTGTTTCGACGCCTAGCAGGGCCGTTTGTTCGGCGCAAATTGGGGGGCCTTCACTTCACCCGAAAGCATGACAACATGATCCTTATATACTTGGAAATGGGATGAAATAGTATGTCCTCAAGTCAAACATTGACCCCCCAAGCGCTCAAGCAACCCTGTAGCTCTTGAATCTTCTCGGACGATCTCCACAACTCTCGGAACCTGCTTCGCCCGAAAAGCGCTTTGTTCGGGGTCCGCCCCGAACATGCGGTCTGGCGCTCAGCGGAAGCCACGCTTCTGCAGAAGGTGCTGAATCCTGAGCACCGGCGGTTCTTCAGGACATGTCTTCCAGGTGCCGAAACGGAACGCCGTTGTATTGAACGCGCACGTTGCGTACAATTTCAGTGGTGGGACCATGCATGGGTTCCACGTAAAGCCGGTACACCTGGATATGTTTCATTCATTGGCCAACAGAACTCCACTGCTCTATCATTCTGAGGTGAGGGGGAAAGCCTCCTTTGGCCAAGCCCGTCCCGTTTTCCATCCCCGGATTTCCCCGGCCACTGGCGGCCAACAACCCAAACACCACGGCTGCCGAAAAGGCCAACAAAAGGGCGACCTTTTTTGGGGGGGGAATTGTTTTCCAACGCGTTTGGGGAGTTTTTTCCGTACTGTTTGTGGTCAGGGGTTACCACAAAGAGAAAAAGAAAGAGACCTAGCGCAGGAGGCAAGGGACGAAAGAGCAGAAGGAGAAGGAGAAAAAGGAAAAGGAGGAAAAGAGGGAGGAAGAGAAGGAGAAGGAGAAAGAGAAGGAGACAAAGGAGAGAGGAGAAGGAACAAGAGAAGGAGAAGGCTCTTCCCGCTGCATTCTTGCAGATCACAATACAGTATACACCAGCCATGTGAGAATGGTAGCGCTTACCGGTAAGTCTGAAATATATTCCTTGTATGTCCACGCATGCATATGTGTCTATATGTATGTAAGTTTGTCTATGTTTGTGTGTGAATATGTGTGAAAATATGTGTATATATGCATATGAGTATGCGTATGGGTATGTGTGTCTGTGTGTCTGTATGTATGTCTGTCTGTCTGTCTGTCTGTCTGTCTGTCTGTCTGTCCGTCGGTCTGTCCGTCGGTCTGTCTGTCTGTCTGTATGTATGTATGGCTTTTTGCTTTTGCTTCTGCACAGCTTCCTTCCTTCCTTCCTTCCTCCTTCCTTCCTTCCTTCCTCCTTCCTTCCTTCCTTCCTTCCTCGAAGACAACAAAGCCTGGGAAAAATAATACCAAAACACGTTGGAAAAACATCCCACAGAAAGGTTCCCCGTCTGGCAGTCTCTGTGTTTGACGGCTCCATGTTGAATCCGTGGTTTCAGAGGTTTGATGGCACAAACCCCAAACCTCTGATGGTTTGATGCCTTTTATTGGTCAATCTGGGGTTTTCCATCAACAAACCTTTGCAACCCCCCGGTGGTTTGATGTCTTTTAGAGGGGTTCTCCATATAAACCACCAATCCGTCGTCTACTTGGTGCCTCCGACGTCTACTCTCAATCTGTCTGGATTCCCTCTGAGGCGCTGAATGGCTTTGGTCGGCTCATACTCTGGAACGCCTCTTCGCCGCAGGAAGCCTCGGGAGACGTACGCGGGAGACCCGGGAGGCGTTGAAATGCCATGGGTTTAGCCGAATCGATGAAAAACGTCGACAGATGCCTGTCCTACGGGATGGGCTGCAAAGGGTTTGGAGGGAAAGCCACTCTCCAGGTTTTGAGTTTTCAAGACTAAGAACGAAGCATGACATGGACACGCACCGTCCAAAATTCAGCAAGTACCTTTGCCTTTGTGTGATGCAAGCCTTTCAGAACCGCACCCACACCTAGGGGAGTAGAGCACAGCTAAAGCCTGCTCTTAAAACATCTTAAAACACTCAACGGTTTGTCAAAGGATGTTGAAGGAAGTAGCAGTGAGCGACCCGAAGTTATTTGCGATGTTTGTGCTGTGGCTCGAACTTCATACCGTCCTTAGCTGTGCGATTCTGCTGTTGTCCCTTGTGTCGCCATTGCTGTTCTCCTGCGGTTTCTGGCTTATCCTTGTGTTTGCTCTGCAGGTCTTTGTCGTGCACTGTCGGCAGGATGGTGGGCTGTGTGGTCATGATCCTGGTCGAAGCAAGTGCCCAAACTGCAGCGGTTGATGCTGAACCCAGTTCCAAGCACTGAAAACAGAAAATAGGAGGACGTTACAACCGATGGTCCGATGGTTGTTGAATTCTTGATGAGTTTTTGATCTTTGCTTACTGAAAGAGGGCTCCCCATATTTGATACACACCCTTACTGAGCTACTGCCCAAACAATCTCCAAGCAGCCGGAGCGGCAAAAGAGCAGCTGGCCACCTGAGTGGAGGACAAGGCAGATGTTCATCTCCCCGATGTTGACTAAGGTCTCAAGAAAGTCAATAAATGCAAAGTTGAAAGAAGCAATTTGGGCATGAATAGATGAGTCAATAGATGTTGAGTTGGAAAGAACAATTTGGACATCACTGAATTATAGTCAATATATAGATGTCAATAAATGCATCCTGGCGGTAACAAACCAGATCCTTGTGCATCCTGGGTTTGTTACCGCCAGATCCTTGTGCAAATGGGGGCTGGGGAGGCACCAGGGAGGAATGGAGTGGTGGCAGGTTCTGTCAAAGCCTCGCAAATGCCTCGGCAAGTCTCCAAATTCTTCGCCGGCGGCAAGCAAACGAAACCGTTCAACAAACCAGGTTCAACATGATCACCCCACTCATTTGTCAACAAACCATGACCAAAAAAAATACATGTTTTCAAAACTTCCGTCATTTCTGAGTCTAATCATGTTTAGGAAGTTTAGAAAAACACGTGTTTTTGACAAAACCCTGGCCAATCCATGCAAATATTTTGCTTACTACCATAACGCAAATGGCTTCTTGGTGTTCGTCTTCCTCCGATCCAACCACCCCCAGACCGAAGCCACCAGCCCGTCGAAACACCCCGACACACAGAGGGCGAAGCACCGCAGGATTCCACCGCCCAAGTGGCACTCGGACA